TTAAAATCAACATGTTATTATTCGAGAATATTTTTGTTTTTTTAAATTTGTAAAACCAGGGAAACATTATTGATATAAAAAAATCTGTCATCACATAAATTATCGTTTTGGTTGTTATAATACAACATCTTTGTCAAACGGTTTACGAAACATTAAATGAATAAAAGAAAAAAAAATAATTTCGAGAAAAATTAATAGCAAATTTCTTCATAGAAAAGTTGATGAATTGTTACCTATCAGCCTTTTGCTTACTTTTTTCTAACCAAAGAAAATTTTAATTTCAAGTTTTGGTTTGTAAACAAAGTAACAACTCGCTAACTTAAAAAATGTCATTATTTATATTTCTATAGAAACTTGAAGTAAACATTGAAATTCAATGGTAAACAAATAAATTTTGTGTATGTGTGTGTATGTACATTCAGTAACACATAAAATAAGTCGTAAAGCCCCCCCCCATCCTCCAAATTAAACCAGAATAAATTAAGAGCGTATAATTATTTGTTGAGATTAAATATAGGAAAAAGTTGTAAATATCAGCTTGCAAATAAGTGTCATGGATTGAGAAAAAGGATATTTTTCTTTGGAAAAAATAACTCGCTTAAATCTCTTTGCCCCTCGACCCATTTGTGACTGGGTTAAGTAATTCTAAAACAAAAAAGTTCAGAATATTTGTGTAATCCGACCTCGCGGGTCAGGAAGACTATTTCTTTTATCCCAGTCGTCCTGGCTGTTATTAAATATTTTTGTCAGACGTAGGAAAGTCGTCTAAAAGATATAATAAATCTAAAAGAAAAGTTGGCATTTTCCTAAGAAAACTGTTGTTGAAAGCTGTAATAATAAATAAATAATAAACCTGTGTAGTAACGTATTTTCACACTTCAACTGTGCCTTTTAGTTTTGATAAATTGCTAATAAAATAATAAAGTTTTTATAATACCAATTGAAGTTTTTTCTCTATGCTGTCCTCGTGTGATGGAGAGGCACTAATCCTAGTATTTTCTTCATACCAGCTATGGTACAAGTTATACAGACGCATGCGAGTCTCTATATTTTTGTGAGTTCTCTTCGTTTTGTTTACTTATTCTATTTTATCGGCTTAGGCTATGCGCCATATGTCAGAATATGTCTCATCATCATGGTATACTTCAAGAATCTGTATCGTATTCCGCTATTCTTCTGCCCACCATTAACGCCGTTAGAGAAAGAAAGAGAATGGGAGAAAGAAAGAAGATTGAAATAAAGAAAGAGAAAGCGAGTGAAAGAAGTGAGAAAGTGAGAGAGAGAGAGAGAGATAAAACGAGAAAGTCGTAAAAGTAAATAATTTCTTAATATATGACGAAATGTGCAACGTTTTAAAAAAGTAATCTTTTTGAAATTTAATTTACCAAATTTGACATTTGAAATCGGTATTCAATTATGTTGTATACACTGGTTTCTATGGTAGTTTATTTTTTGTTTGTATAAATCTTTCCACAGAATGTCATATCCCCCTAATACATCATGTGTTGTTTTTTGTACTTGAGAAAGGTTACATTGTTTCTAAAACTTTCGTTTTGGAAAAACTTTCCGAAATCCTGGCAGGCTCAACAAAATAACGTGATTCACGTGTATCCATAACAATGGTGTCTCGATTTATGTGCCCTCGACTGATCAATATCGAGAAACTAGACTATTCAAATATTCTTGGCCTTTATAACTACATCACTAGGTCAGACGATTTCCTGGGTTGTAAACTCGCGAACGCTTTTTTATAGTATTACAAACCAGATGTGGTACATGTAATTGATATATTGTACTTTTTAAAGACGTATCGTACCTGATCAATTAAGTTATCCGTTGTTTTTCTTTTTTTTGCTGCGCTCATAAACAGATCATATTTTTATAACTTTAATCTTTCGTGATCCAAATTGAACGTGAACTAGCTGAAAAGATAATGAATAATTCAAACAAACCAGTTAAGAAATTTAAATTTTGTTCGTCATACCAGAAATCGGTATACAATATTTAAGCAAAACGAGCTTTTTTACAATTTTTTATTATTTTAGATGAAATAACAAAACAAAAGTCAACATTTCAAATATTAATAAATATAATATTAAGCTTAACTCGATTTTACTTTATGTATTAAATTGAATAATACATAAATTAATTTCGCCATACATTATCGCTGTTTACTTATTGCTTTTGCATAATTGCATTGAGCGATGCACATTATTTTAATGTAAACATTAGTATTGAGATTGAGGTTATAAACATTAATTTACCATAAATTTTCCAGTTCATTAAAACTACAATGTTATTGTATTATTTATTGTTCGAATTGTCATCTGTTTAATATCAATTTGTATTGTCAGTAAAATTATAGTTTCATTAATACAAACCGATAATTATTAATAAATTTAAATTGTAATTTAAAATAGAATATAAGATTTGTTTATTGTTATGACAGTGATCTCAGAACGATTTTCATTATTCTTCACAATGAAGAATCAAATCCAAATATAAAAAATGTTTTATTTATTTTTTTTTTATATTTTAATTATTGAATGTAATAACTATTAATTATAACTTTGTGTTATCTTGAAATTTTATCAGAAATAATTCAAAATGTGTCGTAAGTTATGCGTTTTTTCAATCCGCACGACATTTCATCATTGCGGGTTTAGCCTATTTGGGACGCCGTTTATTTCACCTAATATGGACAATATTTATTTTATTTTCAAGTTTTGCGCCGTTTTGCCTACATTTCCAATGACTTATGAATGATTACAAACAGTTAAAAATAAAATATAATAATATTGCGATTCATAACATTTAATAGTCTCCAAAAGGGTCATGAGAAAGTCAGGCAAGGAATGTAAGGTGGTCGATAAAGATACGAAAACCATTTTTTCTACATTTATATTTCACAGAAAAAAACGTTAAATGGTAACTACCAGTGAAAAACAGTGACTTTATTCGTATTCATTCTTGTGGGATGAAAGTGAATTGCCGTAGGCGGGATCGTTAAGACAGGTGGATATTGAGGCTGGATTTTAGTAATAATGTTAATCCAATGCAGGCATGAAAGATAATAAAAAAAGAAAAGTTAATTATGATTTGATTTTGATACCAATTTTATTAATTCTTCCTCGACATTAATACGGATTATTGGTTAAACGTCGAGCGAGTAAAATCCGTGAAAACATAAATGTTTTCATTAAAAACAGGGTTTAATAAAACTTCGTACAAAGTGTTGATGAGCTTTTGGTCATAATTTGTATCATGGACTTTTATTATGGTGTTACGTTGAAAAAAATTGAGCAGCTTACAGCTTTCTCAGATAGTACCACAAAATGGCTTTAGTAATAAGTGATTTTCTGAAGGAGTAAAGTCAGGATTGTGTCTTTAACAAGAATAATATGAAATTAGATAATAATGAAATACCAAGCCCCAACTTATCGGAATTTTATTGAGGCATAAACAGATTTGGAGTTGTCTGTAATAATGCTTAACGGTTTTCTTATAATGAGAAAGATAATAAATCTATTTAGGGGACCGACGCCCCCGCCACCGCAACGGTTTAGGCGTTGACACGGCGCTCATCACTGTAAGGTAAAGGCCTCGGGTTCGAATCCAGCGGCCCTACATTTGAACCCGACATACTTACAAATGGGCTTTTTTTTTAAAAACACCGGCACCCTGAGGGTTGATTGACCTCTGTTGCGAACCCTCGTAAAAAAAAAAAAAAAAGTAATAATGGTTATTCGGAGATCGAGAGATGCGATCTGGTGTGACATAGATTTTAGGAAAACATTTTCCTTATCGTACCAACGTTTCGATCTTTATTGAGATCATCTTCAGGGCCTGGGATTTATAAACATTGTTTAAATTTAACAAATACATGTAGGATGTGGAAAAAAATGAATTTATACAATGCTAAAAAAATTGGATATAAAAATAAATAAATAAAATGAATTTATACAATGCTAGACAATTTTAGATTAAAAAAAAATTTATACAATGCTAGAAAATTTTAGATTAAATTAAATAAATTTATACAATGCTAGAAAATTTAAGATTCAATCAAAGTATTTATACTGTAAAAGTGTTTGTTTCCTAAACACCACACTCAATAATAATAATAAGACGAATAAGGCGAAGACTGGAATAATCGATTTTATAATTTATGATGAAAACGTCTATAATATGTTTTGATGGATGAAAAAACAATTGATACATTAAGATCTCTGTGAAGTGTGTTATTGTTTACGTAAGACGGGGCAAAAACAATTAAGAAGGAGTATTAAAATTTTCAATTAAAAACTTTGAATTTGGAATATTTGGCCGACTCATAAATTTTGTACCCATACATCCATCTAGGTTGGAGTAGGTATGACTTTGTCCACTGTAAATGTAGGTTTGATTTTGATGGCAATTTTTAATATTGGTTTAACGGTAATAAATCAATTTAAATCGATTGTAAAGTGTTTTTTTTAAATCGTGTGTGGGATTCCAAGTTAGTCCTCTATCACATGTAAGTCCTAAACTCAACTTTGTCGGAGTTAGAACTTTACACTTAAACTTAGTTGTTAAAACTTAAAAATTCTACCGCAATTTTTTTTGTCCTTGGTGAAAAATTCTTAACAGGCAAATGACGCCTTTTATACTATATAATAGATTTTAATAGCCCTGTTCAAGTTGCAGTTCTGTTTGGGTTGACATGGCATCTCTACCCATTAATTAAAATGAATCACGAGCTTAATTAGTCACTCTAAAATTGTTTATACTAAAATTTCTTCATATTTGGAATATTTTTTTATCAAATTAATGCTGCATTTATTTAAAAATTATCCCAGAAATATAAGGAAAAATTACGTACTTTTTAATAGTTCTTGTAGGGAAACATGAAAATTATGATGTGACTCTCTATTTCACATATACAATATTTATGTGCACATGCGTTCCAGTAAACAATATATTTGATCTATAGCTTTGTAAATAAATAATTATTTTTTCAGGTTCAACGATCCTGTCGTGAGACACAGGATGGTAAACCTAATGGGGACGGAAGTGGTAAGACTCCTCGACCGTGATTTCATGGCGACACTTGCCAACAGACTCGTCGAAAGGAACTGCGAACTGATAAAGCGTAGGATAGAAGATAGAAAGGTAATTTTAGAAATTTCCTTTTGATGGGAAATCAAAGCGATCCTAAGTTGACAACCGGTACGTTTTCATCTGTTAGGGAGAGAGTAATTATCTGGGGTCGTATGGTAGGAGTGTGGGTTAAACCTGTGTGAACTTCTCACCGGTTTGCAATTAAATCGTGCCAAATCGATTTAATTATTCGAAGTAAACTCCGTGACCCCATTTCCGGAAGTTTAAATAATATCTACTCAGGCGAGTTCCCGAGAACTATTATTCTTCTGAGAACAAGCCTGGGATCTAGCCAAAGCTAATCTTGATTCTTGAGAAAAACGAGCTTTTGAAAAGCCACATTATCGAGATCCTCCTGCGAAAATAACCCGGCAAATCCGTTGAAAAATAACCTAAGGGCGATTAAAAATATAATTTTTTACTTCATAAAAGTTTACTTAAAACATATTAAAAAACAAATTATTTATTGTTGTATTTAGTGACCATTTTAATGATTAATTAGAGATCGTGAGATGCCGTAGATAAATAAAATGAAAATGGGGGGCGTCGGTGACCGCAAAGGTTTAGGCGTTGAGCGGCACTCATCGCAAGGTAAAAATCCCTTGTTGGAATCCACCGGCCTTGGATTCGAACCCGACATACTTAAAAATGTGTTTTTTGCAAAAACACCGGCAATCCGAAGGTGAAGAAAGAGCAAAAACAAAACAGATACCAGTTAGCGTCGCTTGAAGCGATGTGTCACAGGCTCTTCAATAGACGTCATACACTTTCATCATTTCCATGATCCAGATAAACTTAAAATTTTATACACTTCCACTGTAAAACCAATATAAGATTAACTTATTAAATCCATTATATTTCGTGCTCTATTACCAAACTATTTCTTTCAATTAATTAATCTTTTTATATAAGGTTTTGATTGAAATTAAAAGTTAGGGATTCGACACCAACCAATAGATCGAAGTCACGATAGTTCAAGTGGTAGAGTAGCGGCGTGTTAAGCCGAAGGTCGTGGGTTCGAATCCTGCTCGTGGCACCAACTTTTTCATTTTAGGCAAAACCTTACATAAAAATATTAATTAATTGAAAAAAGTAATTTGGTCAATAGACACTAAATATAATTGAATTAATGTTAGACTTAAAACATAAATACAACAAAAATAACCTCGCGTAAAGAAACTAAAGCTCTAGGTATAAAGATAGATCTTTCAATCAATTAATCTTTTTTTGTAAGGTTTTGGTTGAAATGAAAAAGCTAGTGCCACACGAGCGGAATTCGAACCCACGACCTTTGGCTAAATACGCCGCTGCTCTACCACTTGCGCTATCGTGACTTAGATCCCTCGGACACCAACTCCTCATCTCAATCTACAACTTTTCAAATTGTCCTTCTTTTCTCCAATTTTTAACTTGCCACTTCATATGTCGCCGAGAATCGAATCCTTTGTACACGGCATTTGAAAAATGGCAAAAAGGAGGGAAAATTCGAAAGGTTGTAGGTTGAGATGGGGAGTTGGTGTCCGAATGGATCGAAGTATCGATAATTCAAGTGGTAGAGCTGCGGCGTATTAAGCCGAAGGTCGTCGGTTCGAATCCCGCTCGTGGCATTAACTTTTTCATTTTAACCAAACCCTTACATAATAAGAATTACTGTTCACCACTTTGGGCTCCCTTTCGATCCACCCATACCCGTCCCATAGAATCAGTTCGAAAAATACTCATCGGTCGGATATGAAATGACAGTCGTCTGTTCTGTACAGAAGAAAATTCTATGATTGCACAGTATTTAATAAATTATTACATTCCTTAACGGAATATATTACTTGACCGAATCAACTTTAAAGTCTAATCTTATCCTCAAATAACAATTCATATAACATTCTCCATTAATTACCATAGTACAGATTCTGCCAAATTCAGTTTTATACTAAAAACAACAAATTTGTTATAACAAAAACTCCTTCGAAAATATGTATATATTTAATATTAATTTAAACAAATTTAAGGAAATTTTATCATCAATAAATTAAATATTGTCTCATTAATATAATTAATTAATATTGAATTTGATTATAATTATTAATCATATTGTTTTAATACATATTTCAAATCGTTTAAGTTCATTTTAATTTTTTTTAAATTATAAATATTTTTAAATTTATATACCATTATAACCTTTATACTTTTATTGTATACTTTTGTAACTGAGAAAGCATAAAAGTAACTAAATATATTAAATTTATTCTGAATTGAATAGAGCTTAACTATATAATAGAGTTAATTCACTACTTTCGTGGTCCGCTTGACCAATTAATACTTGACAATTAATTAAGGTTTTTAGTTGAGATGAAAAAAAGTTAATGGCACGAGAGGGATTCGAACCCACGACCTTCGGCTAGATACGCCGCTGCTCTACCACCTGAGCTATCGTGACCTTGATCGACTCAAGTGGACCACGAAAGTAGTGAATTAATGTTTTAAAAAATGAAGTACACTTCACTAAAGCTCTCCGTCGCCATTTCAATTGTCGTCGAGAATCCAAACCGATTACACGACATTTGAAAAATGGCAAAAGGAGGGAAAGCTCATAAGGTGTGGCTGAGATGGGGAGTTGATGTCCGAGTGGATCGAGGTCACGATAGCTCAGGTGGTAGAGCAGTGGCGTATCTAGCCGAAGGTCGTGGGTTCGAATCCCTCGTGTGCCATTAACTTTTTTTCATCTCAACTAAAAACCTTAATTAATTATATAATAGAGGTTAAAGTTGCTTCGTCATAAGTTTTATTGTTCAGGTCTAAGCGGACTATATTTGGTTATATAGTTGCCATTTTTTCCCCAGCAGTAGCCCATAGGTTATTCTATGTTGACCAATTGCGTTTGAAACTAAACAGGAAGAAAAATATGTAACAAAAACGCCATAACTTTGGAAGTATCTCATGGAAAATTACTAATTTTAAACCTTATGATACTTTTTCGAAAATGATAAAAGTACCTATCTACAATTACACACAATTCTCTGCAGATAGAATCAACCCAATAGGAGGCTGTGATAAAGATCTGTCATTAGCCAACAGAGTCAGGTCAGCTGAATTTTTAGCTTGCAATGTTTCTCCATTTTTCAAAATGTAATATATTATCCCTTAAAGTTCGTGGTTTGATTGACCGAATAACTTTTTTCAATTAATTAATCTTTACGTAAAGTATTGGTTGAGATAAAAAAGTCAGTATTATGAGAGGGATCGAACCCACGACCTTTGGCTTAATACGTCGCTACTCTACCACTTGAGCTACCGTGATTTCGATTCATTCGGATACTACCTTCCCATCTCAACCCCACCTTTCAAATTTTCCCCACTTTTTGCCATTTTTCAAATGTCGTGCAATCAGTTCGATTCTCGGCGACAAATGAGCCATGGAGAGCTTTAGTGAAGATATACTTCATTTTACTTATTAAATCCATTAGAGTTTGTGGTCTGCCTGACCAAATAACTTTTTTAATTAATTAATCTTTACGTATAGCATTGGTTCAGATAATATATAACAACTATCTGCAGTCAATGTTAATTCTTTGTAGATATAATCTAACCTATACGAGGGTCTGATAAAGGGTTATCATCAACAAAGAGAAGTTCAGCTGTAATTTTTAACTTGCAAATGTCGTTTGTAAAGATGTTAAATAATGTTTGTCCAAGAACACACCCTTTAGGGACCCCGGCTCTAATACTTCCTAACTGTGACATTATGCTATCAGTCATTACAAAGAATTTCCTTTGGATAGGTAATTACGAATTAAATTTATTAGGAAGTTAGGAATTAAACACGTGAGTATGTGAGACCTCTGGACCCAACACTGTCAAAGCTTTTTTTACGTCAACAAATACCATCCCCACATTTTTTTTCCATTACAATTATGAAGAATCATATCAATGCTCTTAATAGCTGCTTGGAAGGAGAATTTATGTTAAATAAGGTTTGTCCAAGAACACACCCATTAGAGATCCCAGGTCTTATACTTCTTAAATATGACTTTGTACCATCAATCTGTACAAAGAATTTTCTTTCGTTTTATTTGGGTGTAATTAAATGTGTTAGATAGTTAGGAAATGGAAACACAAAATTTAAACTTGTTTTAGTGCAAAACTAAGAAATAAAAGTACGTGATTATAGAAACACCGTGACACAATGAAATTATTCCTTTATTTACCCGCCTTTTAAAAATTGGCCTAGTAAAAACGATTTTATACAATAAATAAAAAATAAAATAAGGTTAACTTATTTAGTTTTTATGATTTTCCAGTATTCGCTAGTGGGTCACGAAACCTGCTTGAGAAATGGCTCCAAAGCTGTCATGTGTAATTTTGAAATTGGTTTAGCCCCACAGATTGCGATAAAGCTTTGAAACGGCCCAATTAGAACTGATAACATACGAGTTCAAAAATCAGCACGATTCGGACGTAAACAGGTATGAATCATTGGGAATCGACGGGTTTAAATCATGAATGATTCATTCGACCAATATATATCCCAATATACCACCATACAAATTTGAACCGCTGATCGTTTTAGCTTTTTGATAATTATGGCATTTGTCAGTCAAATTAATAATTTTTTTCCTGTATATAAATCGTCTCATTCAATTTAATAATATTTTCATTCAAATTAAAAATCATTTCAACTAATTTAATAATCGTCCCTTTCGGGATTTTACAGTCGGGGAGAAACTAAATATTCGCTAGTAGTTGCAAAAACATTTATTTACATTTAAACATATTGTAAATAATAATATCCCCTACATATCATAAAATTCGACATTTTCGAGGTTTGTTGCACAACTAGACCAAAAACTGAATCGAAAAAAAAAATCACCAAAATAAGTTGAGAACTGCGGGGCATCGCATACAATATTTTGTCACACCACACGCGCGCGCACGCACGCACAGACAAACAATATTCTCTAATATGCTTAAATTTAAATAAAGATTTTAGCAAATACTTGCTAATATTTAGTTTCTCCTGTGACCAAAAAATTCCGATTATTAAATTGAATAACACGATTATTAAATTGGTTGAAAACAATTATTAATTTGATTAAAAAGTGTCATATAAAATTCTAATTGTTGATTTATAAAAAGGTTTTTAAATTAATCCGATCCTCGGAATACCTTAAGATGTTTGAAAAAGTTACAGGCACCAGATTGTTCTTTTCGTCCTTAATGGAGTCTCTCTTTTATCCAGATTATGTCTGTGTTAAACAAAAAAAGCTTGAAAGAAAATGAGGCTATTTGGCCTTTGTACTTGTGCTTTTCTTTATTTTGCCATGGGACTTTTCGAGGCGAGGAGATTCGGCGTTGTTGAGAAGGTTTATTGCATCAAAGATTATATTCGAGAACGAATGACGAAGACGTGCCTTTTATGTGCTTTCAGATATTATTGAACGACGAGACTTATTCTATCTTGTGAGAAGCGTATCGATTGTTTACTCAAAGGCCGAAATTTTCGTCCAAAAAGCGATTTTTACGTTTCAATTTTATATATATTAAAAATAAAAACAATATTCAAACTTTAAGTTCAAAAATTGCATAAGTACTGCAAACAATTGTGCACGTTTAAAATGAAAATGACATTGTTATGACTTGCCAAATTAGTTTCTGGCCATGCATTTACTTCCAAGCAGCTGACCAGAGTAGTGACATGATTGATTCTTCATAATTTTAATTTAAAAAAAATGTGGTGATGATACTTGTGGCGTGAAGAAAGCTTTTGACAGTGTTTGGCCAAGAGGTCTCATATACTCATGTCTTTAACTTCCTAACTCTCTAACAAATTTAATTCGTAATTACCTACCGCAAGGAAATTCTTTGTAATGATTGATGCCATAAAGTCACAGGTAGGAAGTATAAGAGATGGGGTCCCTAAAGGGTGTGTTCTTGGACAAACCTTATTTAACACCTTTATAAACGACATTTGCAAACTTAAAATTACAGCTGAACTGGTTCTCTTTGCTGATGATAGGCCTTTATCAGACCCTCGTATAGGGACGAATTATCATTGACTACAGTCAGGTGTTTTAAATATTTTGAAAAATGGAAAAACAGACCTAATGGCAAGGCTGATGAAGTACGGTTTACTCAACGTGTACCACACATTAGAGTTCGTGGTCCGATTGACCGAATAACGTTTTTCAATTAATTAATCTTTATATAAGGCATTGGTTGAGAGAAAAAAGTCAGTGTCACGAGCGAGATTCGAACCCATGACCCTCGATCCACTCGGACACTAACTTCCTATCTCAACCCCACCTTTCGAATTTTCCCTCCTTTTTGCCATTTTTGAAATGTCGTGTATTCTATTCGATTCTCGGCGATAAATGAAATGGCCTCGGAGAGCTTTCGTGAAGGTACACTTCATTTTACTTATAAAATTCATTAGAGTTCATGGTCTGATTGACCGAAAAATTCGAACGGTTGGGTTGAGATGGAAAGTTGGTGTCCGAGTAGATCGAAGTCACGATAGCTGAAGTGGCTAGAGGAGCGGCGTATTAGCCGAAAGTCGTGGGTTCGAATCCTGCTCGTGACGCTAATTTTTCTTCTCAACCAAAATCTTTAAATGAAAAGATTAATTAATTGGAATAATTAATGTGGGCAATTATGGCCACTAAACAAATATAAATTAATTTCGTAATGAATATATTTTAAAGAAATATGTTAATTTTGTTGTTATTATTGAGAATTTTTATTTGTAGTTAGTCGGTTTTGTGGATTTCTTGGGGTGATGTCGATTTGGATGTCGAATATTTTCAGTGCAAATAATCTTTTAGAACAGTGATTGAAAAACGTATACCTTCTCATTTAAAATTTAAAACTAGACTACAAAATATTAAATAAGCATTTTTTGGTTTTTCGATACCGTTATGTATTCAAGGATAATTAGCCGGGCTTTCTAAAAAGGACATCCTTTATAAAATATTTAAAACATTTGTATTTAAGAAATAGGACTCAATTTAATAAAACTATTGGTAGTTCTTCTAAGTGAAATATTGCGGAAAACGTTTGTTTAATTGAAAATTGCTTTGGCATTGTTAAGTTCGATGAAAGCCGCAAATAGGCTTAGAGATATCCTACAAACCCGGATACAACTTACGAACAAGATTTGAATAATTCCGTTCTAATGCACCGCTGAAACGCAATTTTAATGTTAACTCGTCAGAGGAAAAATGACTATTTCTTTTTAAATATGAAGACGAAAAATGTTTAATAAGGAAAAATTCTATGGAAAATGTGATCCTAGATATATAAAATTAAATTGTATTCCTCAAGTCAAAGGATATTTTATGTAGGGAAAGGCGGTAAAATAACTGATCCTCAAAATTCTACATTTAGAATGAGAGTATTATAACAATGGTTTTTATGTTTTTTTTTATTAATCAAATAAGCTGTTGAAAACTTTTTCAGTGATTTTTAAGACTTTATCTTCATTAACATTAGATAAATCTTTCAGTCCTGCTGTATGAATAATGTCCTAATTTTCCTCATTAAATGTTAATGGATTAATGTTACGTGTTTATTTTCTACTTAACACTCTATTTAATTTGTTAAGATCTTTCAATTCTCTTTCGTTATTGGTAGGTAAGAATAAAGTTCCATTATTTAGCATTTATTGCGAGAAAAATCCAGCTCAACTTTTAGAGCTTTCAGACAGAAACTGTTTTTCCTGAAATGATTTTTTTTCCAACTTATCTCAAATCGCTAATAATTAACTTTATAATAGTTTTACCTTTATAAATATATTCTTAAACTTTTATGATTGACTATTTTTAATTTTTGTTTATTTATTTTAGAATTGGGAACTGGATCGCGAGCGTCAGCTTGTATTCGACGGAAAACTGCCCTTGGAGGACGGCCCTCCTGGGTTTTCAGAGCATCCCTACTTTGCCATTATGTCCAAAGTGGCGGAAGAGGTGGCCAAAAGGAAAGCGAGGGTGAGTTTATATTCCCTCAACAAATATTTATTTTTATTAAAGGTCGTTACATATCCTAACTATTATAAGTTAAGGCAATAAACTTTCATTAAAAGACGGAATAGTCTACTGTACTGTAAGGGACCAGGGCTCGCTAAGTTCCCAAGTCCGTAAAAATTTACTATAACTATCTAAAAAGTTATTTATCATTTTCCACATTTGCAACAGGTAATATATAACAACTATATATTTATTACATTATTTAAAGGTCAGGTCAGGTAAAAGTCTCTCACACTCTCTCTCACTTTCTCTCCCTCCCTTTATTTATTTAGAAGCGATTGCAGTTGGTCTTTCTGTGTTTGCATAACTGTTTATAGGTGTATGCAAACTCACTGTGAGTTACGTTTAGCCCAAAGGGTTAAAGTGTGTGTTTGTTCTCAGTTAAATCTTCTACACTCACGTTTCCTTGGAAACTGGAAAAGGAGATTTCTCAGCGTCTGTCTTTCGCACATTGATAAATTAGTTTAATTCTTTCTTCAATTGCAGATCGAGGCGCACAAAGTTCGAAAGCGTCTCATCCCGATGTTCGACTACTCGATATTCGTGTCGGACAAGAGCGAGCACAAAGTCAAGGAGAGCACTTCGGACATTTCCCTCATCGACGACGTATTGCCGGACTTGAATATCGTCGAGGCCGAGAAGCAAAATTGCGAGCTCGTACTTAAAAAAATGATCGAACGCGATATGATCGACGTAGCGGGCTACGAGCGGGCGAGATACGAACATCTCCAGGTCAAAGCTCTCCGGAAGGCTAAGGTGAGTTGGAAATTACATATGAGATATACCTGCGACCAATGTCAAAGTAAACAAAAATCCAATAAGATATAAAAATCTCCAATTCCGGTGCAAATACGGGTACAGTCAAACCGGGTCTAATCATAGGGCTGACAAATTATTTCAAATAGCTTTCCTCTGAAAGAGTAAGTAAATTTTAACCGTCCTGGCACTTAAAACACTTATAATGGGGATTGATCTCTTTTTTTTTCTAGTGGGAAACATGACTATTATGACCCATTTTTGGCATTTTCTAAGATCAAAATTATAGCAAGCATGGCAATAATCCTAAATATATGGTGTTTTGACCGTTAATGATTATTTGTGTGGAGATCGTGAGATGCGGTCTGGAGTGACGTGGGTTTTAGAAAATCATTTTTTTTATCGTGCCAATGTTTCGATCTTTATTGGCATCATCTTCAGGGCTGAGGGGGGTGTTTGCTTTCAGCGCGATTGTGTCATTCTTGTCTGTCGAGGGGCCACTCTCAACACGACACAATAATGACACAATTACGCAGAAGACAAACACTTTGAGCTCTGAAGATGATCTCAATAAAGGTCGAAACGTCGCACGATAAAGAAAATGTTTTTTCTAAAACTTACGTCAAACTAGACCTCAACTCACGATTTCCGAATAATCATAACAATAATATCAATTTTCTCTCACCTAATTATTTAAAATTAAAATACAACAAATAAACAAAATGATGAATCCTATGATTTAATTTCGAGAATAGGGGGCCACAACCCTTTTAGCCGTTGACTCGGCGCTTATAACTGCAAGGTAAAGGTCCCGGGTTCGAATGCAGGGACGTAAAAAAACGGAGATTACTATATACCAAAAAATGGAGAATAATATATAGCTCATGAGACAGCTTATCCAGGCATACTGCGCCTGTTTAGTTGATTTTGATGAAAACTGAATTGCAAAGTGTTTTACTTCTTCTACATGATACCCAACAAGTAGTTGAGCTTTAAGCCTTTCTTTTGGAAAGGAATTATTTTTAACTAATAGCTGAATAATAGGCTAATCATTTACATAATTTATTTTTTGAACAGACTGTCGAAGATATGTATAAAATGGCTGCCAAGATATTCATGACAGCATAACAAAATGAAGGCCCGTCGAGTGGTGACGGGTCTGCCAAGAAGGGGGAAAGCGTTGAAGGTCGGGAGGACGAGAGCGACCGGAGAAAACAAGAACTCGATGGATCCGAAGATACAGAAAAGCGAATTGATGGACAACTAACTCCAGAATAGCCGGCTTAAACCTATAAAAGTCCTTTATTATCGTCTTGTGTTTAAATATATGGAATTTATTTAATTTTAAATGATTGTTTTGTTCATAAATTAAATGTGTACAATTTGGATGTTTGGTACTGCAAACAGGTTTTTAACATGTGTTAAGCGATAAAGTAGCAGTACCTTATACAACTAATTCTTTTGAACCATTTCCGAAATATTGACGTTTACTAAGTTTTTTGGTAATTCATAAATAATTAACATTAAGGTAATCAGACTCACATTTGAATAATTACACAAATAGAATACTCTTGTAAACAAATTTGAACAGAATAATTTGAATCGTATAAAGCATTGTTTTATGTACTTGAGAAACGAAAAAAGAAAAAAAAAGTGTTAAAGTCTAACAAAATGCTGATATTCAAGTTGATAACAATAATAATAAACAATTATTTACTTTTTACGGAAATATATTTATCAATTATATACATAAATCCATTATATTTAGAGGTCTATTGGCCAAATTACTTCTTTCAATTAATTTTTTTGTAATGTTTTGATCGAAATGAAAAAGTCAGTCCCACGAGCGGGATTGGAACACACGACATTCGGCTAAATACGCAGCTGCTCTACCACTTGAGCTATCAGGACTTCAAGCGCAGCGGCGTATTGAGCGGAAGGTCGTGGGTTCCAATCCCGCTCATTAACGTTTTCGACTCAACCAGGTTTGAGGTTGAGACAGGAAGTAAGTGTCCGAGTGGATCGAAGTCACGATAGGTCAAGTGGTAGAGTAGCCGCGTATCTAACCGAAGGTCGTGGGTTCGAATCCCGCCCGCGGTACTGACTTTTTCATTTCAACCAAAACCTTACAAGAAATATGTAGATAAAGTACAAGCACTATCACAAAGACAAAATTTGTCATTTTCAATAAAAATGAAGATACTTAAGTTTAAATCGATTTATGTATGAATACTTGAGAATTAAGCTCCTGGATAATCTTGAAATGTATTTAAGTGCTTTTAGGTTTCAAGTATTTTTTTCGTGATTGACGTAGATGCAGATATAGTGTTTTAATTTGTAATATGTATGTATTCGTGTTATTTCTCTGACAAGTTGTGTGAGATGGTTGTCTACATTATGAGTTCTTTTTTTTTTAAATAAAGGATACTCACCCTGCAATAAACTCTGAGAGCCGGTTAGTAGCCATCGGCCTTCTCTCTTTATCATCCATACAAACGCATAACCACACATTATATACTTTACAACAAAAATATACACAATAAATAATCTATACATACAATATTTACAGATTAATATTGGGAAACTTGGAATAGGGGACCCAAAAACCTTCTGTCATTCCCAAGGGCTGTTTTTTATAAGGGTGCTATGCCACTAAAAGAACAAGGTCAGGCACTTCTCGATTAAGTGGCACACTGAGTTTGCACTAAAAATCGGGTATGGCCTATCCTTAAACGTCTGATTCCTTCCTTTCGTTTTAGACTTTCGAGAGGGCGATGTTCAGTCGCGCTCTTGACACGTGTTACTCAGACGCGTTTCTTTAAATACATAAGCTAACTGTAATTTAAGTCTCCACGCCCAATCGTATCGGTATTATTGACAATATTTTCACCAGTAAAGTCCGTATAAATTCACAACAGAAGTCGGTAATAAATGTATATACAATTATATAATCTAGATTAACTTTCTTCTCCTACCAAAGCAATAATAAATTATAGTTACTATAAAAAAAAAAACAATCTACAACTAGAAATAAGAAATAATAGGGCAGAAAGCATCTCAAAATTTTCATCTTTTGTCTCAATGCCCATATAGAATGAATAGAAAATAAAGAAATTAAAGCGTTCATGCACGCACTGGATGTTATTGACACGGAGAAAATCTTAGGTAGAAGATTAATTAAAGAAATGCTACATATAATATCATATAATTCACTAAATTTAAGAAGTGATATTAATAATCTTAGCCTCTTCTACAATGGCGTAATTTACTCCCTTCTGACTGTGATGTGTCATTCTGTGTCTGAAGCCATAATTAATTGTAATCCATTATATTTTGTGGTCTGATTGACCAAATTACTTCTATCAATTTATTAATCTTTTTATGTAAGGTTTTGGTTGAAATGAAAAGCTAGTGTCACAAGCGGGAGTCGAACCCACGATCTTCGGCTCAAATCGCCGCTGCGCTAACCGCTTGAGCTATCGTGACTTCGTTCCACTTGGACACCAACTCCCCACCTCAATCTACAACCTTTCGAATTTTCCCTCCTTTTTGCCATTTTTCAATTTGGCTGTCCGAGTGGATCGAAGTCACGATAGCTCAAATGGTTAGAGCAGAGGCCAGTCGAAGGTCGTGGGTTCGAATCCCACACGTGGCACTGTCTTTCTCATTTCATCCAAAACATTAATTGTAATATTTAATGTAATAATTTAATCTAATATTAATTACATAAAATAAATAGTCACGTTTTTGAAGTTTTTTGATGTTTCAATGAGTTCTAAGGAGAAGTTTTAAATAGAGGTTTATGTTTATAAATTACTTTTTTGTAGCCAATTTATATATATAATACTTATATATAGCCAATTTAAGTATATCTATTTATTAGTAATATGAGATAATAATATATATATTAATACAGTTTTCTTTGTGTTTGTTGATTTATTAATTGTTAATATTGTCAGTTATTGTTATTATTTATAGTTATTACATATGTTTTATACATTCATATATATATATACNTAAAACCAGCTTTCTAATTTTTTGAACAATTAAAAACCGATTGCACCATTATTTTCAGCGTAAAAAATCCTTTAAAATGATGTGTTAGGACGCAGGATGTAGGTCATATTTGAAATTTTGAAGTTCAACTGGGCCTGAGGTACGGTGTGAAATTTTTCTACAAAGAAAGGTAAAAAGTGGAAACAAGACTAAAAACATGAATCGTATGATAGTGCTCTGCATATTCTAAGATGCCCACATCTGTGCGACATCAATACTTACTATTTAAAGTATGGACACTTTTTAGATCTGTTTGGGAAGCTTGTCCACAGAAAAGAGAACCATAATCCAAACAGGATTTTAATTGCTGAATCATCAGTTGAACTCAATAGTTCATTCAATATTGATAATATTGGGGATGGCGTATTACCCTGATTTAGTCGCAAAATATTTGAGACGGCTTTGGCCGGGTTTTGACGAGGGGAGGCAGAATCAAGTTCGTTGCACCTTTTCCTTCCAGTAATCCTTCGAACAAGTTTGTTTATTTAAACGATCTTCACAGCACGTTAAACACAGAAAGACACTCTATTTGATCACACCAAACTTGAGATGCGAGGGTGGCTTTCCTGCATAAAATCAGATTTGTCTCAAATTAGCTTGTACTTGTTTGAAACAGTGTGCTTTATTAAGAAAACAGGAAGCCCCAATTTCTGTAAACATTTGCCTCTCCTTGTTCATTTCAAAGAGATTCATAACAAAACTATAATTAATGACACAATAAGTTTTCATGTTGGCTATGTTATACCCTAAAAACCAAACAACATTAATTAAAGCATATTTATTTTAATATAAACCATATTACATGAGGTCAGCAATTTCTGAGTTATAATAAAAATCATTTAATTTTTTAATGGTTTGAAAGAAAAGTACAGAAACACTGGAAAAACTTCCATTAAAATTTTCAAAATAAATTTAAAATTAATTAAAATTTAACTAACAATTTATTTCCTTGTGGAGGGCCGTAAGCCTTCTAAGCATGGAGTAGATAAGCGATCGGATTTCGTCTTGTGAAAAAGAATTCCATTCTTCAACAAGAGTGGTTTGAATCTCTTCAACGCTTGTTGGAAGATGTGAACGATGTCCTCTTTATCATGTTACATAAGGGTTCTAAAAGATTAATGCCATGAACGTGCTAGCCAATTCGACCTACATGCCTTCGAGCATTATCATGCATTTAATCGACGTTGTGCCTATTAAATGGGCAAATGGAACCACAGCTTTCAGAAGAACTTAATTGTGCTGTAGTGCAGTCAAAGATCCATTCTGTACGATTCGGTACGGGCATGGACTTCGATTCCATCTGATATCATAACTGTCTTTGAAAAGGCTGTGACAAGCATAGCCCATGAAGCAAAGCGTTCTTCACGTCTTCTCCAGGTCATTTGATTGCTACAAACCCAACCGGTAGTTGAGCTTTAAGCCTTTCTTTTGGAAAGGAATTATTTTTAACTAACAGCTGAATAATAGGCTAATCATTTACATAATTTATTTTTTTGAACAGACTGTCGAAGATGTGTATAAAATGGCTGCCAAGATATTCATGACAGCATAACAAAATGAAGGCCCGTCGAGTGGTGACGGGTCTGCCAAGAAGGGGGAAAGCGATGAAGGTCGGGAGGACGAGAGCGACCGGAGAAAACAAGAACACGATGGATCCAAAGGTATAGAAGAGCGAATTGATGGACAACTAACTCCAGAATAGCCAGCTTAAACCTGTAAAAGGCCTTTATTACCGTCTTGTGTTTAAATATATTGAATTTATTTAGTTTTAAACGATTGTTTTATTTATAAATTAAACGTGTACAATTTGGATGTTTGGTACTGCAAACAGGTTTTTAACATGTGTTAAGCGATAAAGTAGCAGTACCTTATACAACTAATTCTTTTGAACCATTTCGGAAATATTGGCGTTTACTAAGTTTTTTGATAATTCATAAATAATTAACATTAAGGTAATCAGACTCACATTTGAATAATTACACAAATAGAATACTCTTGTAAACAAATTTGAACATAATAATTTGAATACATCGTATAAAGCATTGTTTTATGTACTTGAGAAACGAAAAAAGAAAAAAAAAGTGTTAAAGTCTAACAAAATGCTGATATTCAAGTTGATAACAATAATAATAAACAATTATTTACTTTTTACGGAAATATATTTATCAATTATATACATAAATCCATTATATTTAGAGGTCTATTGGCCAAATTACTTCTTTCAATTAATTTTTTTGTAATGTTTTGATCGAAATGAAAAAGTCAGTCCCACGAGCGGGATTGGAACACACGA